ATACAGGAATGGCTAATAAACACTTGGAAAGATGTTCAACATCAGTAGTTATTTGGAAAATACAATAAAACCACAACGAGATAGCACTTTAAAACCACTAGGATAGCTATGATAAAAAAGACACACAATATCAAGTGTTGGTGAGAATGCAGAGAAATCGGAATCCTTATGCGTTGCTATTGGGAATGTGAAATGGTGACAGCGACTTTGGAAAAGAGTTTGGGAGTGTCTTAAAAAGTTAAACGTAAATTTACCTTATGATCTAGCAATTCCACTCCTATGAATTCTAAAAGAAATAAAGACATACATACACAAAAAGACATGTATGCAAATGTTCATAGCAGCATTGTTCATAATCCAAAAAACTGGAAATAATCCAAATGCCCACCAACTGGTGAATGGATTAACAAAATGAGGTATATTCATACAGTGAAATACTATTCAGTGATTTAAAGGCATGAACTACTGATACATGCTTCACAACATGGATTAACCTCAAAAACATTGTGCAAAGTGAAAGAAGCCAGATGCAATACTATATATTGTATGAGTCCATTTGTATGAAATGGCTAGAAAAGACAAATTTATAGAGATAGAAAGTAGAACAGTGTTTGCCTAAGGCTGGAGGATGGGAGTGGGAATTAGCTGTAAATGGACACAAGGGAACATTCTGGGGTCGTGGACATGTTTTCAACGGGATTGTGGTGATAGTTGCCAAAATCATCAAATTGTACAATGGATGAATTTTATGCTGTGTATTATACCTCAATAAAGCTGTTTTAAAAAGTAACAGTATAGAGGGGTTTATGCCAATTGAATAAAATAAAGAGAAGAGCTTGATCATTAAGGGTGAGGTTCTTGGGGACAAATGATTTTGAAGGTAAACTTTGGTGAAGACAGAGTAGAACTCTCAAATGGTCCAGAATGGAGAATAGTATTGGAAATGGCCTGAAGGTCGCCAGTGTTCTTGATGGATTCAGAGAATAATGAATAGATTAATTAGTTGAGGTAGAGTTCTCTTAGAAAGGGAGTGAGAAATAAAATTTGGGAGGTGGGTAGGAGCCAAATTGAGAGGAAGCAAATGGTATTCTAAGATTTCTCTCTTAGAGGTATAGGTTATAGAGAGAAAAGACTGGAAGCATAGAGATTTTCTCAAGAACTATTACCTGATAACCCCCCATAATTGAACTTGGAAAGGGCTGAGGTCTTGACAAGGATGCTTTGCACAAAACACATGTCCAGCATTTTTGTGGCTTTGATTACTATGACATTTTTAGCCTGGATGACCAGAGAAGTGAAGCACCATTGACAGAAATTGGGAATCTGGAGTGGACACTGCTTTTAACGTGAGTCCCAAATGTCAGCCTGGGCTTCACTGCTCCTCAAGATCTTGGCAAATTAGACAGAAACCCACCTATTCCCCCAAATCATAGACTGTAGACTTCTAATGCCCACTGTGGGATTTCTGTGAATTCCCAAGTGACTGATGTTGTGGCTCTGGAGCTCCAGCTTGCTGTCTTTGCCCCACAACAAATGTGCCATCAGTCCATTCTTCAATTTCTCCAAAAAATTGCATTCACATAAAATATCCAAAGTGTAGACTCTACTACAGATTTTGTGGAGGGCGATGAAGTTGAGTTTACACTGCAGAAAAACAAACAAAGGAATAATAAGCATCATTACCCTAAACGGAACTTCAGCTCAGGAGCTTTACTGGCTCTTGAGCTCACTCAGCGCAGCCTTTCTGTCCTAATGTCTCTTTCCTCTCCTTTTTTGACTCTTCTCTTACCTCTTTCCTCAGGAGAAAAACAAATTACAAAGCAGTTTGAGTGCCATCAACAGGCAACAAAAGTACCCATACCCTTGGTGTGTGGCTCTGCCTTCTAAGGAGCTCATTAGGGTATATTCCAAAAAAAGATCATGCCTTTGCTAAGAGTTCTGGTGCCAGCTGTTAAGAGAAAATGCTCTTCTTCCAGAAGAAAAGGCTATTCATTAAGTTTGAGGCAAAGATGAGATATCCAGATGAAAAAATATAGCAGGTGGTTAAAGATTTGGACTGAAACTCCAAAGAAACATCAGTGACAGAGATTTGGGAGTCAAGTTCTGGAAAAGAAAAGCTAACATGTATTAATTGCCCGCTGGGCCTAGCCAGCTGCATACATGTTACCTTATTTGATCCCAACAACAATCCCTTGAAAGAGGTATTATTGTCTCCATTTTACAAGTAAAGAAACCAAAGCTCGAAAAAATTAAATAATTCGTCCTAGATCACACAGCTGGTGGAAGGCAGTGGCAAGATCAAATCCAGCACTGTCTTAAGTCAAAGCCTTTGCTTTGATTCTATGAGGAAGAGAGAGAGAGAGAGAAAGAAGGAAGGAAGAGGTATATTTGCGCTCTTGATTTTTAATGCAAAGCAAAACTACAGTTAGCTCTACACTACTTTCTTGATAATTTCTTTTCTTTTAATATTATGGCAATAAAAAGTCATTTCCAATAGAACCCTGTCACCTTTAACCCTTTGGCGCCCAAGTCGGTGGTGCTCTCTTCTTGCCGAGATCAATCACTACCACCTGTAAGGTGATTATCTGGGGATTCCATTGTCCCCACATCCCTACCTGACTGTTCACAAGTCCAGGAAACTCAGTGTGTTCCACGCTGAACTCACCCTGTACAACTCCAGACACCAAACCTGCTTCTCTCCATTCTTTTTTTTGTGAGGAAGATCAGCCCTGAGCTAACATCCATGCCAATCCTCCTCTTTTTGCTGAGGAAGACTGGCCCTGGGTTAACATCTGTGCCCATCTTCCTCCACTTTATATGGGACGCCGCCACAGCATGGCCTGACAAGCAGTGCCTCAGTGCGCGCCCGGGATCTGAACCCCGGGCCTCCAGCAGCGGAGTGTGCGCTCTTAACCGCTACGCCACGGGGCTGGCCCCTCTGCATTCTTTATTCATAATTTGGACAAGCCATCCATCCATGTAAAATCTTTACCTTTTCTAGTTTCATCTAAGGTATAATAAATATATAATTTCTAATGTATAGAAAATATATTTTATTAAAGTTCAACAGTAAATGACTTAAATCATTTGCGAGGCTACTTCTCCTTAAGGCAACCAGACACCTCCCCTCTCTATAAATTATGCACTTGGAAAATAGGGCTAGCAAGTACTAGACATAAATAATTAATAATTAAGCCTTCCTAAGTGATGAATTGCACTGTTGTATCACTGCAGGCGGCTGCTCTTTGCGTTTTTAAGTTTTGATGGGGAACTTGCGAGAGCTCCTCAGTGATTGCTTTGATTTTGGTGGCTGTTACTCTATCCAATAATGTTTGCCTTCTTGTTTATTTAAAGAATTGCCTCACCTTGTGGGGAGTGATTTTATCCACATTGTTTTGTTTAATAAGTGTTTCTAGACTAAAGTGCCATGTGTAGAAACTCCAAAAATGAATGTTGGGTTCAGTTTTTCTGTTAGAATTTTCTTCTCTGTATTCCCTCCTATGGCTTCCTCATAGGCTGAAAGTGCTGAATCTCATTTTTTCAGTTTGCTGTAAACCCTCAACAAAAATTGAAACTGACTTAGGGAGTTTATATCTATATCCCAGCTGTATAACACATAAAGAAGCCTTTGCTGTTTCATAAGTTCTTTGTATTAATCCAAGAATTGTGGTATATGAGAGCATTGATAAGATATGTTCTGGTATGAGCCCCTCACTTTGGACAGCTTGCCTTCATGGGAGAATTAGATTATAGAAATTTGGGTTAAGAGGCATTCATTTAATCGTCAAAGTTGGGAAGTATTCCCAGATGGAATCTGCAGTGTTACCTAAGCCTCCCCTGGTGACCTAGTGCCATCACATCCTGGCACAGTTCCCGGTCTGTCTAGATGAAGCAGATGGGGATTCTGACCCCTGACTGCTGATTGCATCTAGTTATTGTGGTGTTGAAAATATCCCTGCCTCCTGGCTGGTCAAGGGTGGGCAAAGAGGGCCTGCATGACGGATGTCTCCACAACGTTGGCCATTAGCACCGTTAATGAATTTGAGACTGAGGGTGTGTGTGTGTATGTGTGCGCGTGCGTGTTCTGGCATGTCTTTCTTTCCTAGCACTAAACTGTTGTCCAATTAAACTCCATAATCTGTGTGGTAATTGGTAGGTAAAGTCAGGGACAGCTGTATTATTTAAATTGGTATTTTCCTACTAAACAATCATTTTGAAGCAAATATGAAAGATGAAGAGCCTTGATTGTAGAGGGTTATGGAGGTATGCACGTGGTGGTGGGTGGGTACTGAGACTTCTGTGTATAGGTATGAGCTGGCTTATGAACATCTAGGCAAAGAAATGTATGTGTATGTATACATGCTGATACCTGTGGTTAAGATTCCTGAATACATGGAGGACAGAGAATAACCACTTCAAGTTTAAGGAAGAAAATCAGGACAAAATACATATATATGTTCACTAATGTGCATTGTGGGGCCTTCTGGTCTTTTGGCTGATGGTATTATAGACAGATCATGATAAGAATTCAATTAAGAATGTTAAAAGGAGGGCCGGCCCTGTGGCATAGCGGTTAAGTGCTCGAGCTCCGCTGCTGGCAGCCCAGGTTCGGATCCTGGGTGCGTACCAACGCATGCTGTGGCGGCATCCCATAGAAAGTAGAGGAAGATGGGCACGGATGTTAGCCCAGGGCCAGTCTTCCTCAGCAAAAAGAGGAGGATTGGCATGGATGTTAGCTCAGAGCTGATCTTCCTCACACACACAAAAAAAAGAATGTTAAAAGGAAAACAATGATCTATTTTATGTTTGGTGTCTTCAGTTCTCACTGCTATAATTTTGCTTATTTTGTGTCATTGTCCCAAATCAAGAGAAGAAAGCTTTCCTGGGGTTTGAAATTGCTCTAATTATTGTTTGAAGGGTTAACATTTTTTCAAATTGGCTTTTTGACTTGGTTTAGTTTGACTGGTTTCTGTTTGTTTTCTCTGTCTCTCCCTCTCTAGGAAGCTATTTTGCCAGCCACTTCATCATGGGAGGAGAGAAGTTTGACTCCACTCACCCCGAAGGTTACTTGTTCGGAGAGAACAGCGATCTGAACTTCCTGGGGAACAGACCAGTGGCGGTATGGTTGTCATCCGTTTACTTCCACGTGGGCTAAGTCGCCAAGTCAGACTTATAAAAATAAGTTTGTAGCCGCTAGTTCAGCAGTGTTTGTAGTGTGGTCTGAGTTAAGAGGGCTCTGGGAGCCAGATCACAGCCTCTCTGGGGGAGCTGGGTCTCTTGGCACTAGAGGCTGACCTGCTGAAAGGCTACAGAGTCTGCCTGGGGGTGAGGACGGCTCACAAAATCCAGCTCTCCTAAGGATTCAGATCTGCCTAAATACCACTGCTACAGACAGGCCTTTCCCAACCTTGATGGCTTTGCTTTTTGTCCTTCTTCATAGCACTTAATATCATACAAGGTTTTATTTCTCTGTCTGGCCCTGTTTATTATCTGCCTTCCCCTTTAGAATGTCAATTTCATAAGCCAAGGACTATTTTAACCCAGAACAAAGCCTGGTATGTAATGATAAGCCCTTAATAAAGATTTGTTGAATGAATGACTGAAGAAGTTTCCCTTGATATCTGAGTTGATATTAGATTATGTCGCTCTTAGTTCATTCAACTCGTTTCATAAACTTTTATGGAGCATTTTCTCTGCACCCAGCATGAGGCTTTGTAATAATAGCTACCATATGGCTATTGAGCGGCTACTGTGTGCGAAGGAAGGTCCTAGAGACTTTTCAGACATTATTCCTAATCTTCATTATTCCTACAGAGGCTTTATTGTTCATCCCATTTTATAAGCAAGAGAGCTGAGGTTCTGAGAGATGAATAATGATAATGGCTAGCATTTAGGAAGTGTATACTGTGTTCCAGGCACTGTTCTAAGTGTTTTATGTAAAGTTTTCCCAAAGTCACATAACTAGGTCTGCCTGGCCACAGATCAACAACCTTCCCACTGCTTCTCATTGCTTCACAATATCCCACCTTCCTCTAGAAACTCCCAGTTTAGTGGGGCAGACAAAACATATGAACAGGAAATGTTTAAATAGCAATAAAGGTCTGAAGTGATTGGATTCTGTAGGAGTTGAGAGTGGGAGAGGAGAATGGCAAGGGCAGATTGCTTCCTGCTGGTGTTGAGAAGAGGTGGAGGGAATTGACCAAGGCTTTGGAGAATGGCTGCGTTTTCCCTGGCCAGGTGGGAAAGGGGCTTTCCCGGAGTGAGGCACAGAGAGCAGGCCTCAAGCATTCACATTGTTGTTGAGTCAGCGGACATTTAATGAGCCACCACTATGTGCCAGGGACTGTGGTAGGCGCTGCGGTTACAGAGCTGACATGAGCATGGTTTGTTCCCCCCTGGAGCAAATAGGGAAGCCAGGCTGGTGGGAGTGGATGTTTCCTGATGGTAAAGCAATTGAAAAGGTAGGTGGGGCTCTGTTACCTGGAGAGGTTTTTAACTTTCTCCTGTAGGCTATGGGGAATATCAAAGATTTTAGACAGACAAGTGCCCTGGAGAAATTGTTGTGGTTTTTTAAGGAAGATCGATCTGTAATGGTCTTCCATCTTGAGCTTTAATTAAAAAACATTTTTTGTTGGTGGTGGTTTTCATGCTTTCTCTCTGGAGTGACCCCTCTTCCAGTTCTTAGTCCTGAAGTGCTTTTCAAATACTAAGTCCTTTCTGCTTCAAATTCCGTTACTCCAACTAATGCTTATCAAATGTCTACTCTTTGATTTTGCTTCTACTACCTAGCAATTAGAGTAGAAAAATCTTTTTTTTGTGATAGAACTAGATAAGAATTCCTCCTTACTCACTGGGAGTCAGCGTGTGCTTGGAAAATGGCCCTTGCTTCTCACATTGACTTGCTGGTTTTTTTGTTTGTTTTGTTTTGTTTTGTTTTTGCCCTTTTTCTCCCCAAAGCCCCAGTAGATAGTTGTGTGTCATAGTTGCACATCCCTCTAGTTGCTGTATGTGGGACGCGGCCTCAGCATGGCCGGACAAGCGGCGCGCACCCGGGAACCGAACCCGGGCCACCAGTAGCAGAGCGCGCACACTTAACCACTAAGGCCCTGGACTTGCTGTTTGGGTCGGTATCTTTCTTTCTTTTTTCTTTCTTCTGGAGTCAGAATAGTTTATACATATATTTTTAAAATTTTGACCTTTTCAGGCCGCAAAGATGATTTTAAAACAAGTAAATGCTTCTTGATGTTCATTTTGAAGTTTATGCTGGCTGACAAACTTTCCCAAAGTTTACTTGACTTGTTTACACTTCTCTGTGAGCCTGTGAATGACTGAGCTCTTCCTGAAACACTGGAGAGCAGCCTTGACCTTAAGTTTGAGGCTTTTTCCCAAAGGAGCATCAACATTGGCCTTTTGTTGTTTTTATGTAGTGATCATTAATATGCTTAATGTTGTACAGAGCAAATGTTTTCAAAAGACATCATAATTTCATCTTAAGAAAGCAAATCATGGTAACTTCAGATAGGTAGATGGAAATATAATACAGTCATCCCTCGGTATCTGCCAGGGATTGTCTCTAGGACCATCCCCTCCCCCCCCCCCCCCCCGCCAATACCAAAATCCACGGATGCTTGAATCCCTTAGTCGGCCCTGCATATCCGCGGGTTCCGCATCCACGGATTCAACCAATTGTGGGTCATGTATAGTACTATGTTTCCTGTATACCTACAGAATAAATCTAGCACATTTCCCTTTTCTTTTCCCACATATTTTTAATAATAATAATAGCTAACATTTATTGAGCATTTACTGTTTGCCAGGCCTTGTTGTTCTAAGCTCTTCATATGTGTTATCTCATTTTGTCCTAAAGAGGAAGGTCCTGATTTGATAGATGAACAGGAGGCACAAAGAATTTAAACAAAGATTACAAAGCCTGTAAGTGACTGAATCAGGATTTGAACCCAGCAGTCCAGCACCAGAGCCTGAAGCCCTCTGCCATTTCTGCCAGTCAGGTCAGGTGTGCTCTGAACTCGGCCCACATCCTGTCTGTAGTCTGCTTGAGTGCTGCTTGTGAGATATGGAGAGAGATCTGAAAGTAGACTGAGTGGCAGTGACATGTTTTCTTGGAGTATCTCTGGAGAGAGTTCGTATTTGGCGTGTAATTCCATCTGCTGAGCTGACCTCTGGGTTTTGCCATTACTGCACATCACGCTTGTTGAGGGAAGGCCCAGCGATTGAAGACTGACTTGTAGCTTTAGTTCTGAAGAACTGACTTCTTCTCTCTAGTAACACATCTCTGGTGTCAGTAAGTGAGTGTCAGGTTGCGAAGGAAAGAGAGCAGCCTTTTAAAGCCATCCGGCAGCTCGAGGCGAGAACAGCTCCTGTTTCCAGAGAGAATGAAGATGGGGATGAAATATGTTGAAATAAATTGTTAGATTAAAATATGGCATAGACTTCTTGGCTTCTGAAACTTGTGGTATCGGCTGTCATTTCTGAATGATCAGACTAAAAAGAGTAGCATTCCACGGAGCTATCATGCAGCCTGTAGTTTTTACTGGAGCACTGCTGGTCTACCACTTAGGATAATCTGGCAAAGTCAGATTTATTATCAAGTCTTAAGGGTCAGATTTAAAGAACTAGAGTGTGTATATATATAGAAAGATGGTTGAAGAGAGGTTGGAATCAAGAGTTCAAGTTTTATTTATATCTTACCATTAGACTCTTGGCAACCTTGGCAAGTCTATCAACTCAGGCTCTCAAATTACCCATTTGTAAAGTGGGGAAGGTTCTGACTTTACACGAATGTAATGCTTGAAAAATGCCTTGGAATTGCTGGATGAAAAGAAGCACAGAGCGGAGCAATGTTGGCTATACTTGCTAACCTTTCAGGTTGGTTATTTCTGCAGCTACCAATAGTTCTGGGTGGAGAGAATATTCACTGGGGTTTTATTTGTTTTTTTTTTTCTTGCTGAGGAAGATTCGCCCTGAGCTAACATCTGTTGCCAATCTTCTTCCACTTTGTATGTGGGTCGCTGCCACAGCATGGCTGACGAGTGGTGTAGGTCTGTGACTGGATCCAAATCCACAAACCCAGGCCACTAAAGGGGAGCACACCGAACCCAACCACTATGCCACGGCACTGACCAGTATTCACTGGTTTTTAAGGAACTGTCTTAAGTACTGAACAGGGCTTCTGAAGGTCTCTCTGCTCTGGTCCCTGTATAGAGGAGCTAAGATCGTGTGTTTGTACATCACAGCTATAAAATGTTAAATAAAGACCATTCCTCCCCTTCTTAGGTGGTGGAACAGCTGGTGCTGATTTTTTGCTCTTTTATTGAGTTAGATCTTGTTTTGTTGAGGTAAGTTACTGCTGAAACTCTAAGTTATTTAGAAGGTTAGTGAACTTAGGATGGTCAGAGTATCACGTGATATCTTGATTCTACCTGAGTTCAGATCTCTCCTCTCATCTTAGAGGCAAGTAGTTGAGTTTTAGTCGAGCCCCTGATACTCCACAGCATCTTGTGTGTCCTATTGCTGGGCCTCATTGACATGGCTTCTTCCTCCTCATGTTCCCTGCAGCCAGGGCTGCACAGCTGGCCCTAAGAACCAGGGTGCACAGAGGTGGGCTTTTCTTCTTCCTCTAATGGAGAGATACCCAAAAGTGGTACTTAAATCCAGTTTCTGTAAATTGAACCTTTTACTCACAGCGTGTGCAGGAAGAGCATGTTATTTAAAGGAACTTGACAGCATATCCATTTGTGAAGTAGAAGTTTGCACCTGTAGAGCTTTGTGTCAGTCGCGGTGCCATTCATTTATTCAAGAAATATTTATGAGTCATACACTGTGCTAGCACCTGGGAATGCAGAGATGAAAAAGGCTTGGCACCTGCCCCGAGGAGCTTGCAGCCTAGTGGGGTAGGCAGATTGCCCCTGACCGTGATGAACTGTGGTGAGCTCTACGAGACAGACAGGGCCAAGTGCTCTGAATGTGCAGAGGAATGGGGATGCCCTCTCTGGGGCACTGGCTCTGGGAGATGACTCCTTGAACCTGGAGGGATGAGGAGGATTTCCCAGGTGGAGATCAGGAAGGTCATTAAGGCAGAATTAACAAGCAATTCAAGGA